ACATTAACACACAGTAAATTTCACAATAACCCTGGAAAGTGCTGTCATTCACCACTGACAGATGGATGGATGCACCAAGCCCTGAAAGAAGTGAAAATAATTAAACCCAGATGTCAGGACGCCACCCCAGGTGAGAAATGACAGGTTCAGAATAGCGAGTTCCAGTACTGTGCTGTTGTTATCTTCAGACTTTGAACTTTCCAGTTGAGTAATCCCTCCTCAAAACTAGCTTCTTACTGTCTTCATTTAACATGTATTTTTAAACATAACCTCAATAATGACAAATTGTTTCAATAAATTTAAAATTCTGATGTCTCACAACTCGCATCTCTATGCACTATCAGTAAACACATACAAATTTTTACATTGTAGAATGGATCTGTTATTTTTTATTTTGTTTCTAGCATCTCATATTAAACACATCACCAGAAGATGTCTGCACTTAGAGGATATTTATAGCATAAAGATCTTGATTCAGTTACTTTCCTAATATGATAAAACAAATTAGGGAAAAATGCAGATTTTTTTTTTTAGAACCAGCTAATAGAAAATGAATAATGGTTTGTTTATTATCTCTTTGCCTATAAAGGATTTTGTTTATACTATAGCATATAGTAAGATACAACATGTTAAAACCAGTGGAAAAAGATGTACCACAGCTTGATGGGACTTCAAAACAAGATGATATTAAATCAGCACTAGTTTTTATGTTGTGTTGTTTTCTTCAAAATAGCTATTTGTACTATCATAGATACTAAAATCGAACAACCCAGGTTACAACCATTGTGGTTAATGAGTGAAAATATTATAGTATGTGGTAATCATGATTCCCAATCATATTGGTTTGAAGCCATAAAAATGCAGATTTTTTATCTTTTAAAAAGTTACTTTTAATTTTTAAAAAGATTCTTAGACTTCAAACACTTTTTTTTAATTTTAAAAAGTCATCTAGACCTAAAATTTTGTTTCAAAAATGATTATGGGAAATAGGAAAATAAATGTTTTACGAATAGAAAGGAACCGAGAAATGATGAGGAGTAAAAAAAATTAAGCCATGTCCATGTACAAACTCTCCACAAGGAATGGAATCATTCTGTACTGCAAATATGGGCTAATAAAATATTTCTAAATGATTATGCACTTAAAGTGAGAATATTTGTTGTTAAAATATTCTGTCATAAAATTTTGATTATGATAGATTAAATTGATATTTGTTTGTCTTTCAGAGCAGTTGCTGCATTCTGGTTCTTTCTACTATTTCAACAAAAATAGACTAGAAGTCTTTTCTATCTCATGGTAACCCCAGGAGAACAAGCAACATTCCTCAGTCACATACAGAGGACCCTGAACCCTTTGCCACACCAACTGCCATCCATTGAATAACAGTGAAATGGCACCACTGAAGGCTGTTAGAAATATAAACTCTCAGGCTCTTGCCAGACCTACAGACTCGCAGCCAGCCCTTTGCCAGGATCCCCAAGTGATTTGCATGTATTCTCATATTGGAGAATGCTGTCATGATTACTGATTCTCAATTCTAATTTCCTCTTGCAAATGCCTGGGAACTGGATCCTGCCCCAAAGAAGCTGATTTAACTGATCTGGAAAGTTTTGTAAGCTACAGATCATTCTAATGTATAGCCAAGGTTAACCATCCCCTAGTCTTGATTTACTCCCGCTTCATAGACAAAAATGATGCCCAGTTCATATTAGGAGGCTTCTCCAGATTACCACATTTGCCAGTAGAACTGGAAATTAGCCTTGGGACTGCTGCCGTTCTGCGAGCCTGCTCCTTCCAAACCCCAGACAGCTCTGTTCTGACAACTGAGAGCTGGCATAATCCTTGCTTCCTGGAGCCATCTCCATTCTTCTGCCCCTGCCCCTCGATCCTAGGCAGGTTCTACGCTTCTGGACACATGTGAATTCCTCTTGTGGTGTTTTTGGCCTTTTCAGACTCTTAGTAAAGACCCATCACAGTACCCTATACAAAACCTAAACATTGTCACTTCCAGTGACATGGCTTCTCCTTTAACAAAGTCCTCCTAGTGGAAGAGAACATTTCTGCTCTCTAAGCTTCCAATGTTGCCTTTCCAGTTTCCGGCTCAACTCCCTGTACTCCATCTTCCTCACTTGCACTGACTAAATCTGCTCTTCACACTCTTCCACACAGCCTGTTCTCAGGGAACAGGCTGACAGAATCACCCCAGAGAGCCCCTTGCCAACCCATGTGTTGCCATCACTTCCCCAAGGACATTTCAGCACCAGCCTGATCATCTGCATATTGACACACCCACCCTGAGGGGCCTGAGACCCAGGGCTCAGCCCCAGATTTGCAACCCTCATCTCCTTCTGTCCTCTCTCACTCAAACACTGCAGCCATTTGTGCCTTCACCTCTACCTCTGAGGGACTCTTGCAGCCCTCCCTGCCAGGCTGACAGCCTCAAGAACTCCCAAAGGACTCAGTTTGATGGATTGGTATGCAACAGAAATTTTGGATTTTAAAACTAACTAGCAGCCTGATGTCAAAGGGACAAGACATGATCATCCTGCCTGCCACATAGCTCAACTGCTGAACCCACTCTGCCTTGACTGTGTCCAGCAGCTCATAGATAACCTGACCCAAGTCAACCTGACCATGTCCAGCTGCAATGTCTGTGTTTTTCTACCTAACATATTTTAAGGACTTTCTACTCAGCAACAGACAATGGCTAACTCAATCCAATGAAAACCTACCTGCTTTCAAACTTCTATAATTTCTTCTTGCAAAACTACATAAAACCAAACCCCAAACTGACTCTGGGCTAGTGATTTGGAACTGGTTCCCACCAGCCCGCTGGCATAATAAACCATTGCTTTCCAGCTCCTTGATGCAGAGCATCTTCCATTTGGTTAGATACTGGTCCTGCAACAGATAGGTCCATGGAAGACACAGGTACAATTATAGCCTTTCGGAATGGTATGAGTTTGAAATAGAGGCTCGCTCATTTTCATTTTGATGTCTTTTACTGAGAGAATATTCTCACCTGTTCCATCAGTCTTTCTCTAATTGTTATCTCCAGTTTGCTCCTCTGGTTTACACTACCTCACCACTCCTTGTGGGTTGAAATGTTCTATTTGAGGCCTTGAGGATACTCACAAAACATTGATGATAACCTGTAATTTAAAAGGAACAAAATAAAACAAAAGCCAGAATTCTTAAGAGACAGGAAGACCGCAAGTTTGAGCCCAGCCTGAGCAACATAGTGACTTCACTTATGGTCCCTTTATCTCAGCCTCCCAGAGACACTGTCTCAAAATTTAAAAGAGATTTAAAATGTAGCTCAGTGCAAAGACCCTGAGTTTAATTCCAGTGATGCAAAAAAGGAAGAGGGAATGGGTATAAACCTCTCTGTCTTAAATGCAATACCGTGACCTTGAAACCCTAGGAAATTTGCCGTCTAATAATATAGGTATTAATTAGCCAAAGCTTGGATTCACAGGCAATTATAGATCAAAACAAACCAAAATGCGTTAGGCAACATTGGTGTTTAAATCCATAACTAAACAATTGCTATAGTATTGAAAGAAAATAGAATTTTACAAACTAAACAATTGTCAGTGCCTTAAATTCCCTTAGTTCACCTGTGTGAACTAGCCCAGGTCCCCTTCCCCACCTCCACCACCCCCGGCAGGTCACATCTCCTGAAGTTACCCATTTCTTCAGTGTTTCAGCTGCATTTTACAGGTTGAGGAGGGGACCCAAAAAGGAGGGAAAGGAGATGAAAAAAGGAATTAAGATGTGTTGTGCACATGTTTCATCTCCATTCGAGGAATGTAAGCATGTACTAATAAAGTAAAATGTCAACATTTTTAAAAACTATGTAATTAAAAATATTATTTAGCAATTAGTCACAATTATGAAAAAAATAAAGTTTTAGGTACATTTATTCTTTTATCAAGAGCAGAATTCCTTCTGCTTATACTCAAGGAAATGAAAGTAAACATTATAAACAAGAATACTATTGTTATCTAATTATTATTATTATTATTATTATATTAGGTATATTGGGGTTGAATTCAAGGCCTTTGCACTGAATTATACCTGTAGTCCTTTTTTAGTGTCTTTTTTTTTTCCTTTTTGAAACCATCTTGTTAGCTGGGCATCGTGGCTCACGCCTATAATCCCAGCACTCAGGAGGCTGAGGCAGGAGGATCATGTGAGTTTGAGACTAGCCTGGGCTACAAAGTGAGTTCAAGGCCAGCCTGAAACTGCATAGAGACCCTGTCTCAAAAAGACAAAAAAAGGAAAAGAAAAGAAACCATCTTGCCAAATCACTGACCTCCAACTTATGATCCTCTTAGCCTCCCAGAGTGCTGGGATTACATGGTATGCTGCCATACCTACGGCAAGAAAATTATTTTTAAGCAAATTCATTATTTAGCAATAGTTAAAAAGAAACAAGCCCAAGAAATAGAAATATTAAGTTGTGGCATATTCCAGACAGTAGAATTCTCTACAACTGTTAAAAATCATGCTTTTGAGACTAATGACCAAAGAAATTTACACTATAATTAAAGTTAGGTAACTATATGTGTCTTAGTTAATTTTCTCTCCTTGCTGAGACAAAATACCCAAAATCCAAATTTAAAGGGGGAAAGATTTATTTAGCTCACAGTGGATAGAGGTTTCAGTCCATGATCGGCTGGCTCCAAGGCAGGGTGGCAGGACAGAGGGACAACTCATGGTGGAGGAAGACAGCAAAAGCAATGAGAGTGATTGGTTTTTTCTGACTCTTCTATTATATGCAGGGTACCCGCTCTAGGGCGAGTGTAGCATTCACACCTTAACCCCAGCATTGGACCATGAGTCAATCACGGACTCTAGATTCAACTACCTCTGAAAAGTAACCCCTGTTACTGAATGAGGTTCGGAGGCACATCTAGATGCAAACTATAACAATATGTAATATGGTCTTACTATTTGTAAAATAAAATACATAGGAAACATTAATAGTGACTACCTTTGGATTGTAAAATTATACATTTTTTATTTTTTCCTTACATACAGTTTGCTTTCAATTTTTTACAAATCACATATATTACTCTTACATTCAGAAAAATATATACATAAAATAAATGATTTTTATTTCAAGTGTCTCATTTTTATAATTAGTTTAGTTTTATAAAGAACACCACTAAAAGCTCATCTTTCATGGAAAAAAATCATACCACCTCTCCAGATGATATATAATACAGTATTTTATTACACACCCTGTGTCAGCAAGGTTATTTATGACTATTATCATTGGCTTATCATCCCTGATACAATACTGACTTATCTATAAAACAACTCCAGTTTAACAGAGAGACTTCCCTGTCTAAAAATCAGCAAGACTTATTTAAAGGGCATTAAAAGAGAAAACCTGCTTAGCCCTTCCTCTTGAAATCAATGGCATGTTTCAGTGTAAAAGTTCAGTGGAAAACTAGTTCAAAGATACTTCCACAGATGCAAATATACAGAGTGGATCTCAGAGATCACAGAAACAAGTCTTCCAGTGTTATACGACCTGATTGCTTTCGAATATGTTTTAAAATATCAATTCAGAGAACTGATGGCACAATCTGAAGTACAAAGAAAATGGATCACTCTTCACAGGATGAGTTATTATTTCATTCCTATTTTCTCAAGAAAGATCATCTCATTCATTCCACGATCAGCTCAAAAATAAAAGAATATATAATCAAATTAATCATAATGTTTCTCATCATAAATATTTCTTCCTTCTGTCTCCCAACTCAAGTCACTTCAGATCAGTATACTACATTTCACAACAGTTTCACACATCCTGAAGAACCCATCATCTTATGATCCATGTTTTCATTCTTTGTTTTCTTCTGTTTTCTTTCTTTGGAAAACATTCAGTGAGAATCTCTTATGCGCACTCCTCTACAAGCACTGGTAGACAAAACCCCCAGGAACTTGGGTTTATAGAGTGCCTCAAAACCTCACGCAAAACAAAATAAAAATCTCCATAATTTTTTAAGTATACTATTAACAAGATACATAAATTAATATTAGCAGCATTCAACAGAAATACAGCTTTTAAAAGGAATGCTTCAAAAATAAAAGAAACATTTCAGCCTAGGGCCACTTTGCTGTGTCTCCTGTTTGTAGCCTAACATCGTCTCCGTAGGAAACTCGTTTAGAAAGAGGTATCACCATCAGGTACCATCCTGGCAGCTGAAAAACAGTTACCTGGGATTTAACTTTTTATTCTAATGCTTGCAATTATTACTTAAAAGAAAACATGAAATTTTAAAAATGAGGACAGATAAAAATACAGTGGACCTTTGACTTATGAACTCAATTCATTCCCAAGGGCTGGTTGTAACTCAAACTGTCACTAAAAGGCTCAGGCTTCCCAACACAGCCTTCAAAGTCTGCTTCCTGCATACAGCAGCTCTCCGTGTCCTTAGAGAGACATCGGCCCAGGACTTCTCAGTGAGCCCCATTCAGGAAAGGATGCTGTGATGCTCCTTCTAGAGCTCTTTAAGGGTTAAATCTGTATCTAAGATGTCTGGAAGCACAAGTGGCCAGCTTTGGGTCATAACTCAAACCTTTGGTCATAAGCTAAAACTAAAATTCTGATCATAGCCCAAGTTGTTTGTATGTCAGACCAGTTGTAAGTCAAGGGTCCACTGTATTCCTAATCTCATCATTACATTTCTCTACAGTTGCCATGCTTCCCTCACAGATTTTATAGAAATTATCACATCTATCATTTTCTTAATCAACAAAAAGGAGAAGAAATGCAGACCAAATTCACTCAGTATTTTACAGTAACTGCTACCCATTTCAAAACCTCCGCCATATGCCCCCAAAAGGTTTTCTAAAACTAAATGTATGAAATTTAATTTCACAGCACTGAGAAGTACAAATGGTTAACAGCAGATGTGTGCATATAATTATTTCAAAACCAGTGGGTAGGGGAAATGTGCAGACTATTTGTAACTTCTTCTGCTTTTCTTAGAGTAGTAACAAATAAGAGAAAGGGAAATAATAACAGCAAAAAGTAGAAAAGCAATAAAAAGCAGCAAAGACTTTTGGGTGTGAAAAAAGCTACATTCAGTGCACATAGTATATTCTTCTGGACAAGACCTTCCCAGAGTTTCAGGGCCCAGGAAACCGTTGTTATCAATAATTGTCCTGTAATGTTGCATAGACGGTTTGGGCTCAAACTGATTTGCAGCATAACGAAAGAAGCCAAACTTTGGAGCAGAACGATCATTAAATGAATAAGCAAAGTATCCACATAGATCGATACCATCCAGTATGTAGGCTGGAAAAACAAAAGGGCAGGAGTTATTAAAGTGTTTTGTACACAGCACATTACCGAACATGGTTTGGGAGCATCAGGGAAAACTTCCATACCATTTTATAAAACTTCAGATTCAATAAAATTTAGTTGGAAAAGCCTTCTTTTATGCAAAGACAAATAGGCAAGCATCAAGAAAAATATGGAGTTACATTCGACAATGGGCGTAATTAAACCTACTGAAAGGCACTTGGTTTACATCTTTATGTACATAAAGCAGTTAGGATGGCAGTGGGTCCATTCGAGATGCAAAACTAGAGAATCTGTGCGTTGGTAGACTGGAGCTTTGCAAGGGACTTTCGGCCTTTCTGCTTTCTCCTCTGGCCCTGAGAAGACTGGCTATCTCTTAGCTTTTTTTCTGTGGCCAGGAATGGCTAGTCCTTCCTCGAGGGTGACAGTGGTCTCTGTGGCAGAGTTTCTATCACATACCGTGACCTCTGGTGACACAACCATCGACCACTGAGATTCTGGGGACCCCTTACCTTTTAGGGCTTCATTTACATAATTCTGCAGGTAATACATCCTCAACTTGTCTTGCTCCTCGCGTGGGTCGTCATCCACCCCGTTGGCGATTATATACATGGGGAGGTCTCCATACTTCGATTTCAGCCAGTTCAACACTTTGCGCAGCCCCCAGGGCACCACGGCCACCTGGCTGGGGGAGCTGAGCCAGGTGATATCTGTCATTTCTTGCACTTCTAAGTAGTCACTGTATTTTAAGGGATCTTCTTTTTCCCAGTCCACAAGGATGGTGGTGTAATGGCTTAAAGCTAGAAAGTCAAAGGAGCCTTGGATTAACTTCTTTTCCTCTTCAGTGAAATAAGGGAGCAGAAAATTGCTTCTGTGGTTCAGCCAGTCCCTCATCACGCGTGGGTAATCCCCAGAGCCAAAAATGGGCTCTGCCAGCCAGCCAATGTCAAATTCCAACACTCTCTCTGCCACTTCTTTGTCTTTTGGGGAGAAAGGGCAGGCTGGTTCTATCCAGTCAGCCTGCAAGGCTATGGATATTTGACCTTTCTGGCTGGGTCTAAACCTCTCATCATACAAGCGCCAGGCCAGCGCGTGAGCCTTCAGCAGGTGATGCCCCGCGCGGTAGGTCAGGTTGCGCGTGTAGGGCTCATTCATGGTGATCCAGAACTTGACGTGGTGGCCCAGGTCCTCAAAGCAGAGTCTGGCGTACTCTGCGAAGGCCAGGGCGGTGCGCGGGTTCTCCCAGGCGCCCTGCTTGGCCAGCGGAGGCGGCAGGCCTTGGTGGGGGGCTGCGGGCTGCCACAGGGCCACCACGGGCGTGATGTTGGCGCGGACCAGCTCACTGACCACGCAGCGGTAGTAATGCAGGACCGTGTGGTTCACTTGAGACTGGTTACCCGAGGGGAGGATCAAAGCCCAGTCCAGGGAGAAGTGAAAATGCGTGACATGCATCTCCTGCAGGAGGGCAATCTGGGGCCCAATAGCAGCAAAATCCACACAGTAGGATTTCCTCTTCTTGGCGACAACCCCATCCACTTTAATAAGCCGCTTGCTGTGGCGGACGTCCCACAGGTAAATGTTGGGGTCGGTAAACTGAGACAGAGTGGTGTCTACCTACAAAGAATAAATGCAAACTTCACCATGCGGTCCTGGAAAATGCAAGCCGGTGCAATGATTTCAACAAAACTAGCACACATGTGAGCAAAATTAGGCTCTTGTCTAGCTAAAAATTTCATAACTATTACTAAGGAGGGAAACCTTCCACTTTAAAAAAAAAATGCTCATTTGTACTAACCATAGTCCTCTTCAACTATTCAGCTGTTACATTAATAATGAGAAACAATGACTTTGGTCATTTCAGGTGATAAACACTAACGATATTTGCACGCACAGGCAATCTGGATTATGCAAATGGAGTATTTTTCATATTTTTTCTTTTGATGTAAGAAATCACTAATGGTACAACGGCTTTTTAAAAAAACAATCCCAGATGTGTTCCAAAAAGTGAGTAGGCACAAAAGAGCTTAAAAACTAAATAAGCTAAAGTCAGAAGGTAATCTTAATTAAACTGTGCTTCTTAAAATCACATTCTGTATGAGCACCTAGAACAATCTATTCTGAGATTTGTGCTAGGTGCTAAATAAACATAACTGTCTTTTATTAGTGTTGGGGTCAATGATAGAATTTAACAAATTCAACCTGATGGTAGACAGTCTGTGAGAGAACATGGGGGGAAAAAAAGAAAACAATATTGTCATTTTCCCAGAGAGCTATTTGTAAATACCGGTTTTCTTCAGTTTTCCAAACTATTTTTTGTCATGATATTGACAATAATGGTTCTCAACTGAGATGGTAGATAAGCCTCCAAAATGAAAATAGGTTTCTGAGAAAAGTGAGAAAATTGTAAAAGCAAAGTCACAAAATCCTCCTCCATGTCTTTTATACAAACTGAAAAGTCAGCCTTGAAGCCCCACATCCTAAGCCAGAGTCTCCTGCAAAATAACCCTGTGAGGTGTGTTGCTGTAACCCTTTTAATCACCTGGGTCAGATAGACCCCAGCTTTGATGCTCTTGCCCAGGTTTGGTCAAGTTTCACTGGTGTGTTGTAAATGAACTGCTCATTCTCTGGAGGGGGTAAAGACTGTTTATAACAGACAGTAATAACGATGGCGTGTCAGAGTGAAACTGCTTTTCTGAGAATTCTGCTTGTAGATCACCCATGCATGCATTTCCCTTAATGATTTAGGAATGCTGTCAGGGGTCTTTCCACTGTGATGTCCCCACAAATCACATCTCTTTAGCTTCACAAGAGAATATTTGCATGCTCTTTTGAAGTAAAAGTGGTCAGAGCTTTCAGGAACTTTTTGGATTTTTTTTTACAGAGCTCTGAGCTGACGAAATTAATAACTTTCTAGCAGAATCATTCCAAAACAACAGGCTTTACTCAGTCTATCTGAAAAGAAGTAGATGAAACCAAGATGTAAATTCCAAGGGAAGAATCGGTTTCTTTAAAATATGAGACATTCAGAAATGAGTGTTTAGGCAAAATTTCATCTATCGTCCATTGATTTGTTGACTTAGATTTTACTGAAAACTGAAATAATAAAATTGGACTTTTGTGAAGGAACAAGCATAAAACGTATATCTAATATGTTATGGCAGAGACTTTCTCTTAATAAGGACCAAAGTCAAAGAAGCTCTCTGTCCCCAGCATGCAGCACATTCTATACTTCTATTAACTATGCACATATGCACATTAGTGGCTAAGGGAAAACAAACTGGTCAGCTAGGAAACTGGACCCATGTAAAGTGACAAACCATGTGAATGAGTCCAAGGTCAGACTTCAGACAGGCTGTGTGATGAGTGAAATACTATTTTTTAGTGTTTTAAGGTAAAATGTATGCCTCAATTATTAAGAGTTTGAAATCCTAACCAGGAGGGGAAAAATGAATTTCAATGATTTAAAAATCACTTCCCAGGAAATTTAATATAACATGTTAGAAGTGTAGACCCCTGCCAATCAGTGGAAACACACACACATACACACACACACACACCCTCAGAACTGTGAGAACAAAAAATACCCTCCTGCTGTGTCAATCAGGGAGACAGCTTAGGAAGGAACCTGCCAACATAATGTCAAGCCCAAGGTGCAAACCAGAAAAAAGGAAAATGGAAACTGCAGGCAGTTCCTGAGGAAAGCACCTGGAAAGTTCACATCCACTGTGGAAGGGAGAGTGACTGTATTTTGAGTTGGATTCTCCAGAGAAGGTAAGGGAGGGGCTGGCACAAGTGAAGAGACAAGGGTACTAGTCATGTGATAACCGCAACACTACAGCATCTAGGGTGTCAAAAAGGAGTTCTCTCCCCATCTCCCCACTTATCCACTGCTATGCTTGTTCCTTCTGAACAGTTTCTCGTCTGTCTTAAGGGTACGCGATATGCCTTCAGCACCTTCTCAGTAGGTACTATTCTCCAAAGCAAAGTTGCAGCTCTTGCATGGGGAACAAGGCAGGTGTTAAATGGAGTCCCACTCAACACCTTCCCTATGCTCCCACGTTCCACACACATGCTGCCTGAAGGCTTCCCTGCATGCACAGGGCTGACTTGGGAGTTACCTGCCAGACTTAGGCTGTTCTCGGAGATTTGAAAGAGCTTGAGCCCTTCAGTGACAAGGCACACGGCCTGTAGGGTATGGACAGAGCCAGGACAAAAAGCAGGCTGAATGGAACCCGCTCCTAGCACCAGTAACAGGGAGGAGGTAGAAGCTGTGAGACGCACCTTCCTTCATCCTTCCCTCCTCTTCCCTTACAACCTCTGTACTTAGTACAGTTAAAAACAATGAAACTGAGGCAATCACTCCCTTCCACCCATTTAATTTTAAACAGCACCCATGGCCATTCCTCCTTCCACTCTATCTGTAAGAGAGATAAAAATAAAATAAAATAACAATAGCTTAGGAGACATCTGATGTATAAGGTGAGAGCACAAGCACATTGGATTTCCTAGCCTGACCTTTGGATACCTTCACTCTTCTCCAACTTGAGGATTCATAAATCTGCATGCATGTAATTTGAGAAAGGAGTGAATTCCGGGACAGTTATGTGTGTTGAGAGCCCCTAAGATGACTCAGCACCCCTTCAGTCAGTCCTTCACTCATACCTCAAGATTCATGGGGAAGAACCTGGGCTATGGTGCATAACTTTCAAATTCCCAAAACCTTGTTTACTGGGATCTGGCTGCTGCTATATGCTGTGATCTGTAGTGCTTTTACATTTCTGTCATCCTGACACCATTTTTCTGTGCCATGTGTTTTATTAGTATGAACCCACCCTGACCACACCGTCCTGTGATCTTCAATAAATGTAGTTGCTTTCCACTTACCACTAAGAGTATGCTTTTCAATTTTTTGTTCATCACATGGAAGAGTCTGGGTTATTCCTACCCATCATGCAATAGCATATCCATCACCTCAGAGCTTGCTTGAGCCCCTTTGTGGGTACCACATTAAGGAGAGAAATTAGCATAAGAAGGTTCCAAATACCACTGGTCTTAGAAAGGTTAGAGATGGCCCACCCCCCAACATGAGCAAGATGGATCTGAGAAGGTTTTCTAGGGCATTAAGATATCCTCATGTGTTAGCTTTCTATCACTATAGCAAATACTTGAGATAATCTACATATAAAGAGAAAAGGTTTACCTTCACTCAGCTTTGGAGATTCCAGTCCATGACTGACTGAGCTCTTTGCTTTTGGGCCTCGTGGTGAGATAGCTCATCATGGCAAAGAGAGTGTGGTGGGACAAAATTGCTCACCTCCTGGTACAGATACCAAAAAAGGAGGAGGGGAAAGGAGCTGGGTACCCACTATTCCCTTCCAGGGTCCCCCAAATGGTCTGAAGGCCCAGGTCCACCTCTGATCAACCTCAGAGGCTCTGCTTCCCAACAGTGCCAAGCTTAGCCCCAGGCCCTTCATGTATGGGCTCCTGGAGGATCCTCCAGATCTAACCATAGCCCCAGCACAACATGCCTTGGTGTCTCCTAAATGTAACGAAAGGATTCTATTCACCACCAATGTGAACTACATGATCTGAAAAAGACATAAGAATGACCTAAACCAACAAATAATGCATTAAGCAGTGTTGGTTTATTTTCTTATAAATAAAATATTTCAAGTTGATATTTAAAAGAAAGTAACTATGAATTTAGTAACTATGCCTTTCCTCAGATCCAAGCATTCTTCCAAATATTCCTTTTCAAGTTAAGATTTATGCAACTCATCAAGGTGGTTATAAGAATCCAACATGTTAAATCTTACTACCAGACTGCGGACACTGAACTTTGCCTCTGTCTCAATTGCATTTATGTTCAGCAGCACTCACCTCCGCACCCTGTTCACCGACCACCTGCTACCACGTTCCCTTCACTCCATTACTTTGTTACTTTACCTATATAATCACCATTGACAGATGCCTTTGCTCCAGGAGGAGGTCACATTCATCATGGCACTGCATCCCCTGCCTGCACTGCTCGTAACCAAGTGACCCCAGTAAATCACACGGGGATGTCTATACACTAGGCATACAGTAAGTGCCTTCTGAAGTATTCAGTCAAACTACCCTTTATCAAAAAAAAAAAAAGCCCCTGTAAAGCCAGGGAAATTTAAAAGGATACTAAGGGTTAACTGCATAATAGATGCTCAATAAATATCAATCGATGGTTTTGAAGTACTTCCATACCAGTCAGTGACTATAGCTAAAAAGGACATTCCTAACAACAAATCACTGGAGCCTTCTTGAGATTTTCTGGAAGTCTGGGGGTCCTCTGTTATGCCTTAGGAGGACTTTGACTAGGTTCCAGCCTCACTCTAAGTTTCATGATATGCCTTTTTGATGAAAAACTCAACTGCTTTAAGGAAGATTGAAAACCACAATACTAAGAGCGTTCTTATCTTTTAACTGTCTTATCTGATCTTAAATATTCCTGCTTCACACATTTTGTATAATGCATTCTTAATATTGCCAGTTTCCTTCCCTTTGGATCTAATTTAAATTGCAAGACAAAGACTGGATGATTTTTAGAGAGAAAGGGGTAGCATTGCAACTTATGTACTTTGTGTGCTCAAAGGGCTCCGTCTGTGGCCCAGAGAGGGACAGCGTGCCATGACAAGAGCCTAATAAGGAAGCTCTACTTACTAGCGATAGGGCTTGGTGACACTGCTGATTGGTTTTGTCAGCTGACTTACTTGAACGTAGTTGTCAACAACTCCCCAAGCAAAGTCACAGGGAAATGTCCCTTCTAGGGGTTGGTTTTCAGGTAAAGGAGGGAAGCCATTGCTCTCTATCAGCTTTTGGTAGAACAAGGCTGAAGACTTTGGCAACAGCTTCTTATCCTGGCTCAAAAAATCGACATAGAAGAGTCCACGTCGGATGCTGTAGCCTCTGTGCCACTCAAAACCATCCATAAGGGACCAGGCCGTGTACCCAATGACATCAACTCCATCCAGCCTGATGGCTGCAAAGAAAAGAGAGGACAAGAGCAGTATGACTCTGCACTGGCTACTGCCCTCATGATAAGGAGCATCTGAGGGTACTAGGCATAACTCTTCCTGTGTGACAGCACCACTGATTTTTCTTATTGATAAAATGCTCTAACCAAATCCCTAAAAATAAATATCTTCACAAATAAGCTTATTTCCAATATGATTTTATTTGGATTTTTGAGATGGTATATATTTTTCTTAGTGGGTTGCTACAGAACTAGGAAGATATCTTGTTCTACTTTTCATCCTAGGTGCCTAGAATTGTGCCTGATGCAACAAATAAATAAAATATTTTAAAGTATGAGCCATTATTTTCTCATGTGGACATATTCTCTTTTTAAAAAAAAATGTGCTTCATTTAGCCAAAAGACGAAGAACTCAAAAACATGTACTGAGAGATAGATAGCTTTATATTTCTACTACTAATATAATCTAAAAATCCAGGTTAGTGTCTTGGCCGGTCAAGTACTTTCAAATACCATTTCAGTTTCTCTTTACAAAGTGAATTTTACAATTAACTTGGGGTCCTAAAGCCCAAAATGAAAAAGTAGTTACATAAGTACATTCATACTATTGTCAAAATGAATATCTGTATTACAATTAAAAAATATAAGTTCACATAGTACATTAGAGATCAAATTAAACATTGCTTTTCCAGTGGATTTTGGCAGGGAATGAGAAATTTACTCAAAAATCTTACCTTTTAAGGTTTCCATTATGAACTTTTTGAGGTAATACATGTATTTCGCATCATCTCTCTTAGTGGTCCCTGAGACAAACCAGCCATTTTCCACAATGAATATTTGAGGATGATTATATTCAAGGTCAATCCAGGAGAGAAGCTGCCTCAGGCTGGGGGATTCCACTTGGTGGAACTTCATGTGGGGCTCTAAGAGTTGAAAACTCAACGTTGGTCCAAAGGAAAGGGAAAAGAAGTCAGCTGTTCCCTTGATGAACTTTTTCTCAGATTCAGAGAAATCAGGCAAAAGAGACGAAAGATTACTCTTCATGCTATCGGGATAATCACCATCAATAAATATGGGTTTCGCAAACCAGCCTAGGACGAAGTCAAGAGATTTTTGACATTCTTTGATGTTGTGGTCAGTCATTCTTCGAGGACTGATCCAATGGGAACCTAGGGCAATGGACACTTGGCCTCCCTGAGTTGGACGAAAGGAAGTATTGTAGAGATGCCAGACTTTGGCATGAGCCTATGAAAAGAAAAACCATGGTGAATTTCTGATTGTAATACATACTCAATTCCTCCTACTCTGTATCTGTTTTCCATCAAGCCTAACAAAATGACTAATAATATAAAAGTCTACTGGAATCAATAAATTATTTCAGTGGTAGGTCACCCCACATTGAGTTGCTACCAAGATTGGAGTTACTTCCTGGTTTTCAACAGCCAGTGAAAAACATGACTTTATTGTGTTGAATGGATAGCTATTATTCATATTGTGAAAGGTTAATGAAATAAAAATTTTTATAGTACATTACTACTTAATTAACTTTGGATTATGTATTTTTTAATTAATGAGTAATGTGAAAAACACCAATCTCACATCTGTGATCTCATCAGGAATTTCTAAATAGGATTATATGTTTTATCCCAAGAGTCTGGGAGTTTCCAAATTGCCTCAAGTTGTTGGAGTCAATTTAATATTTCTTCTTAATCTCTCATAGCCAAAACTCTAACACATGTCCTCCCAGTCGCTGTCCTACCCTGTGAATCAGCACAATAAATTAAAGGAAGAACTCCAGATCTAACCTTGGCCCACCTTCCAGAACTCTGGGACAGTTCTGGATCCTTATTCAGATCAAAAGCAAAAAACAACTAAACACAGCTGTGAGGAGGTGGACTGCCCACAATTAGTACCAAGCCAGGAGTTTCCTAGCAATGAAAACGGCTTTGCTGCCATAAAACTAACTTGATGTTCTCACAAAATCATACTGACTTCTGGCGTGTTTTCACTTGTTTCTTTTTTATTTACAAACAGTAGGCCCTATTTGGGTCTTTTTCCCTTCCTACTTGAATACACTCTTTTTTTCTTTGAGTTCTTTGATTTATTCTCATTTTCTTCTCTTCAACCACAAGTGCTATTTGTCAGCTTTCAATTCCCCTGATATATTGTACTCTGAAAGCTCTACTTCTGTTTGATTCTATATATTCTCCAAAATGACCAAGCCAATTCTCATTCTACTCCCCAAGTCTCAAGAAGCTCCTTATTTCAGGGTGTCAAATATCCTCCTTATTTGTCCTAAATACTCTTCAGGGTAGGTGTCCAGATGATCTCATGACTGTTCTTAGGAATCCAGCTAAACATTTCAATAAAGATCGTTGATATCTAACTTTTACTTTTAGTTAGTCATATCTATTATGTTTCGCTTCACTGCATGTATTTTTTTTCATGACCTGACGCAGCTATCTGTAAGTTAAGAAGGAAATGGACGATAAAATGTGGATCAGAACAACAACAGTTTCTGACTATGCAATCCAACAAAACTGGGACATAATCATGCTGTGCTGCTCCCAGTACCCTCCCTTCTCGATCTTCCTCAACACCACCAAACCATCCCTCCCTCCTTGGCAGACAAGACATTTTATGACATAATTTAACTGATGAATAGAACGCCAGAGAGTAGTCTAGACTGATAAACAGGAATCCACCTCTTGGGACACAGGATCAGCAGACACCTCTCATTTGTCCCAATTTGAGAACTCCAGTTGTCCTAAAGCTGATAGATTCCATCCATAGAACAAGTGCTGAACCAGCAGGAGGGAGGGCATTTCCAGAACCTCCTAAACTGGGTCAATTTCACAGTCAGGAATAGAATTGTTCACAGCCATGGATACTACTTCTGACCCTGAAAACTCTGACATGGCTCAGAGGAGATTAGCAAGGAAATGATAAATGGCCTGAGCCTCTGACAAGGGCATATGTGATTGAGAGTGTCAGATAAAATTCCTTCTCCATCACATTTTAAGCATGGCCCTTGGGCTACATTACATGACCTGGACAGATAAAGGCAAGTTTCTTATACTTCTTCTCATAGGGCCCGATTACATTAGTTAATTTATGTAAAGCTACTAATATAGGGTTTGCCACAGTACGGTCTCCATGAATATTTATTCTTTCTCATCCTAAAGGATGACTAGACCAAAAAGGAAAAATATTGTGGGTAAAGGAAACGTGGAATTTAGCTCATAGCAGAGATGAAATGCAATGATAACACTGAAGTTTAGATTACAACCCCTATATCTACCAGCATGAGCCTGTTAGTTCTCTGCAGAAATACAAATAACAGCTATTCTCTCACAAGGGCACTGTGAAGATTAAATACTAGGATGAAAACAAAAGTGTCTATTAAGTAGTCAGACACAGGGGTACATTTGCAGCACAGAACGCACCTTTGATACTATTTGTCTTTCTACTCATCCGCTCCAATCCCGTACAGCATCTGTTATTCCTCCACTCTCTGCACCAGCTCAACCAGGTGGTCCTCCTGTGCACTGCATCTTCTCTAGAAAGTCTCCCCAACCCCACGCTGAGCTGCATGGCTAAGACATGAACTTGCTTCTCTCCTGACATTCACTGCAGGTGATGACACACCCTTCCCAGGCCGAGCTTCCTGAGTTCCTTCATCTCCCAAGAACCAGGAGATCGCCACTGTCCGTCAAGTGGAACTGAGCTCTGCTCCTTCACCTCCTTTGAGACAGGTCATGCCACCTGAAGATGGCATGTTTGAGAAATCAAATACAGTACTATGGGCCAGCATGTGGGAAAATCATCAACGAAGGTGCTGCAAAACCCTAAAATAATTAATAAGGAGACAGTGATATATGGTTTTGCATTGCCTTCTAATTATTTCAGGTATGTTAATCTTATAAATTTATTGTTGTAAAATCCAGACAATAAAGCTACTTTCAGAGAATCCTGAGCTACGTACTATGAGAAAAAAGTATCTGTACAAAACTGTTCATCTCAATGTTATTTTTAACAGCAAAGCATTTTGTTGTAATTGAAATGGGCAATATACAAATACACTTATAACCATATAATCAAATAGGAGTGTTGTAATAATACATGATGGTATAACCAAAGAAATACTCCTATTCAGAAATTATAAAATTTCAAAGGAATATCTAGTAACATGCAAAAATATTTCTAAAATACTAACTGAACCAAAAAAAAAAAAAGTTGTAAAATAGTAAGTACAATGTAATGGGTTTTTATGAAAGAAAAATACATACATAAGATCCGGAAGGATTTATGAGTTGTTAAAATAACATTTGTGGCAGGATCAAAATGGCATAATTCTCTTCATTTTTTTCATTTCTACCATAAATGTGTATTTCTTTAGAGATTAAAAAATGAAATCCAAAGCAGGAAAATGGTTCACAGCAATGGAGTGGCAGGCTCTGGTTGATGACTGCTGCGAATCTCTGATCCAACTAACTCCTACCTACCTGATCTAAATCACCCTATTTCCTTAAATCCCAAAATTTCAGGCACAATGAATGAGCCCAACTTGAAGTTTTGAAGTTCCCTCGGCTCTCACACATTTATCAGTGCAGCTCGCTAGCATATGTTTCTCTTCTTCTCAGTCCTTTCATGCCTAACCTTCACTCCAAGCCTCGGATACTGCCACCTCCAGAGGGTCTTCCCTAGCATCTCCCTTCTCCCCAGCCTCGGATAAATGTCCCTGTCCCTCCTAAGTGTTTCCACACTTGACCTCTATCAAGCATCTTACCCATATTTCACTGCATTTGTTTAAATATCCACATTGCAGGTGCTTCAAAGCCATCGATAAAGGCTTTTATCTCTATCCGCAGATCTTAAGGAGGTTTCTGGGACAGAATCCATAACAAACAGATTTAAAGAAATAAAGGCTCACGATGAGAACTAAATCAAAGGACTGAGACAAATGCAAACAGTTTTCTAGTCTATTTTATTTCTGAAACCTTGAGAGACAAGGAGCTTTTACCACTAAAAAACTAAATTAGAGGGCCGAGGATTTAGCTCAGCAGCATAAGCACCTGCCTGGCAAGCGTGAAGTCATAAGTTCAATCCCTGGTATCAAAAAAAAAAAAAAAAAAAAAAAAACTAAATTAGAAGGAATTTGACATGGCAGCCCCTGACAATACTATATTATTCTGAGTAATACAATGCACTAATGATACAATTTGGTTTATAAATCTCTCCAGTATATGATGTCCTTCCTAATCTTAAACCAGATTTGCAAATCTGGGGTCTAAAAATGGTAGGAAAAAAGATAACTACCAATCAGCTAGCATTCTCAAATGGTGGAAGACCAAGAAAATACTCTGAATTTAATAGCACATACAGACAGCTTCTCCTGGATAACTTGTAAGCTTCCTATCATCTACTTCTTTGTATCTTCACAGGACTCAACACTAAGTTTCACACAAATAAATAGTAAGTGAAGGGAAACTTAGGTGATGAGAGTCTTGTGTCTGCTCCCACCTTCAGACATGGGTGAGGGAAATGAAGTCCAAATAATACACTGAGTATCACTGATCTGAGAAGATAGAAATCAGGAATATCACGGTTTATCTCGGTGGCCCCTAGGCCTCATGCATTTGCATTATGCATTTGTGATTGGTGCAGTGTCTAGAGCTTTGATTGATGATGTCAGTGCTACACCCACCTAGGAGTGGAGCCAGGATGTAATGTAATGGCAGGAAGAAGGTGTGTTTCTCTCTCTTGATGGTTTCTGCTTGCTATTTGCAGGCACCATGAACTGCGGCCCAGCCATGCCACCCTGTCTTGGAGCCAACCAAGTATGGACTGAAACCTCCAAACACTGTAAGAAATAAACCTTTCCTTTCCCAACTTTGGTCATCAGGTATTTTGTCTCAGCAAACAGTAAAAAGTAACTAAGATAAGGACTGAGGACTAGCGAGGCAGAGCAACCTCTTAAAGAGAAGAAAGCTCTACCAAAAAGGCCTTCATGCTTGCCTTCCTGGCAATTTCCTGAGGACCCTTGGCTCTGTGTGCACAGCACAAGATCTGATGGGACTTAGCAAGGAGAAGCTGCTGTGTGTCAGAGGTGAATGCCTAAGGCTGTGCAAGACTAGGAAACAATGCAGTTCAGAGCAGCAAGAGTAGAATATGGTTGAGCATTCAGGCATTCAGGACAGTCACACATGAGGACAAAGCATAAACAGGTCAGCTCTAACAAATAT